GCCTTACTAGTAGTAACAAGAAGCTAGTAGTAACAAGTGCCTTACTACTACTTCTACCCATGTCTTTTCAATACCAAGCTTAGTTATTGACCAAGCGCCCCTAGCAGCGTCCGATCGCTCCTAGTAGTACGGCCAGGAGCCCCGAACGTAGCGTTCCAAGTTTCTTCGCCTTTCAGGTGCACCTGGCACGACAGCCTTCGGACGACACACTACCGCGACCGGTCCCCTCGGCGCCAGCAGTGAGCTTCGACATCTCCACGCCACTCCAGGTGGGACGATCTTGGAGGATGGGTAGATCACCAGATACTGGAAGAGCTTCATATTGAGAACTCCATGACATCTTAAAATGTTGAGCAAGGACGCTACTAGGGGCTCCTGGCCATACTACTAGGAGCAAGGACGCTACTAAAATTTTGAAAATACATTTTCTTTTTTGAATCTTTACATTCCCCGAAGCCACACAAGTTGGAAGGTTCCCCAAGGGGAGCTGTTGCAGGCACCGAGCAGAGATCCGCTCTCTGATGCCATTGGCTCCTTGCAGCCGCTGGCGGTCCCACAGGATGGGGACTGGGGAACCGGGGCCGGCCTGTCGTAGCGTAGTTTGACGCAGCGTCCTTTGGCCAATGGACCGGGCCACCACCTTTGGACCTTTTTGTTTGCTTGAAAGCTATTTGAAAGCACGAACAAGAAGCTGCTAGGGGCTCCTGGCCTGGGGCTCCTGGCCTTACTACTAGGAGCAAGACGCTACTAGGAAAAAAGACGCGTTTGGTTTCTTCTTTGGACCTTTAGAAGGTCCAAAGGTCCAAGTGTAGTACTTCTGGCTCGATAGCTCCGCGCTTAGGGTATACTTTTTGCATTTACAGGTGGCTCAGTGGACCCTGACGGAGCAAGTTCGTGCGTTGAGGCCCAAGGATAAAGCTTTGCTCTTGACCTCCAAACTTGGACATGTTGAACTCGCTTCCGATTTTGGACACACGTGGGGCATTTCTCCACCCTACTAGCGATGGCCTTTAACCTACTAGCAGATTGGATGGTGACATTTCTTTACAGATTGGATGTTTTCCACCAATTGTTCTTGGGGAGGGAGATGAAGATGATCATGCCTGCTCCTAGTGTCAGGACTATCAGCCACCCACTGCACCAGCATCGTTTCCAGCTGTGCCACTGTCGCCAGTGGGGGAGGGGCTGGTGCCAAAGAGGCCAGATGCCGTCAAACCTCAACTGCAGAGGAGCAAGAGCAAAGTCTTGGAGTCAGGAGCGAGTTGAAAGTTGAAACGCAACAACTTGCCGTATTCACTTCTGGCTTCTCCAGCGTTTCGCTTGCTACTCTGCTGATTTGTAGCGCTGCAGGACTCATGCAGAAATCTACACCCCTCCTGCCTGACATCAGTGGTGCCACGGCTTTAATCTGTACGGAGTATCAGATGCAAGCCCAAGTGTTCCCCTGCTTAAACAGGTCCCTACAGACGTACACAGTGTGCGGTTGTAGTTTTGCTTCCTTGTGGTCCTGCGCTTGCAGGTATCCTAGCCGAGTCCAAACTGCGAGGGCGGGAGAAGACGGTGTCACCCAGCAAGGAGAGAATTGTGGAAAATGGTGGGTGCACAACAGGTTGGAGGCCATCCCTATTGGGTTGGAGGCCATCGCTATCAGTTAAGTTTCCCAAAAAATCTAGGAACCAAATCATTAGTGCGAGCGCTTCTTCAAGGAAGCTTCCCCCGCCGCAGCTACCTCTCCCTTACTTAATTAAGTAGGCGCCTATTTAATTAAATATGGAGGAGGGGGAGCGGCCTAAAAGAGCAAAACAGGCACCTGAGATCTGGGGAAGTTGGTGGAGTCCAATGTTTAGTTCAGTGTTTTTGTCGGATTACAAGTGTGCATCGATGGGCGTATTGGCATGTGTCAGCTACATGGTTGACCACGGATGAGTGCCAGGAGGTTCAAAGGTTCAACAAGGTACCGTACTTTGTATCCTTTCTTCTGTAGAATTGTTCTCTTTTATTGCTAGTTTGCTTGCTTGCTTCAATCAGCTATCGTGCAACGTCATGGGTGGCAGGAGAGGCTGGAGCGATCGTACGACGATGAAGATGAGGTGCTCATCGTCGTTTTTTGGGAGACGACACAACTCACATGTTTGAGGCACCCAAGTTTTTCGGGTTGCAGAAGGATGCAAAATTCAAACACGAGTCCTGTTGCTATCGTTCACTGGTGAACCTACCGGGGTGGCTAAGCAAGAGCTGCAACACGAGTCTGATGCATCGCTCTGATGCGAACAGGACTGGCATCCAGGACAAAGTTCCGACGAAGAGCTGATGCGAAGGAAGAAGGCCGTCGTGTCACCAAAGCTGTTGTGGCGGGCTTTGAAAAATGGAACCTTGGAAATCTTGGAACATTGCTTGACATTGACACGTTGACTGCTCAATTTTCCAAGTTTCAGAACCAATAGCTTTATAATGCTTTGGTGAAAGGCCATACCGACTGAACACTCCTAACTCCTGACTCCAACTCCCCGTGCTCCCCTGAGGCCCCTCCTGAATGTCTCATGGATGGCACGCCGTCCAGCGCTGGTCATGGCCCCGAAAGCCCGCTCTTCCCATGGAAGGGCTTGGATTCCACGGTTTCCAGCCGCTGGGCTTGGAAAGCCGGGCGGTAGTGAAGTGGGCTTGTTCTACCTGAAAGGAGATACTGTGAGTGTTTGGTGTGCCTTGAAGGGTCTTTGAAGAGTGTAAAGAAGAGAATTGTGAAGAGCTCCTTCAAGATCTCCTCAAGTGAGCCCCTCTCCTCGCCGGCCGCACACGCAGCTCGGATGAGATATGTAGTACTCCGACTCCTTCAAGTAGCAAGAATGCTACTAGTAGCTCCTGGCATCGCTACTAGGAGCAAGAACGCTACTAGGGGCTCGTGGCCTTACTACTAGGAGCAAGGACGCTACTAGGAACAAAGGGGATCGCCACTGCAACCTCATGCCTTTTGTAGGCAGCAGCACCAGCAGCGCACATATGCCACATGTGCCCAGTGGACCACGTCTGCGGCGAGGCCTACAATTCTGTGCAAAGATACTGTAAGCAATTTGATACGTTTGGAGGCCATCGGTAGTAGGTTGGAGGCCATCGCTTTCTTTTGTTTCATGTATTATTATATAACTTCTTTTTTGACCCAAAGATCTCATTCTCGGATGGCCTTCCTCGAGGTTTAAGCCCCAGCCAAAGCTTAGCGGGTCGTCGGGGCTTGCAACTGCAGCTTGCCCGCGGACGCTCCGCGCCAGTGCCCGAAGACGAGCCTTGGGCTGTGAGGTTCAGGAGGTTCTGGGACAGGTTCTTCAAATTTGGATCAATTTCCGAGACTCAAGGAAGTTTGCGGAAGCAGATACAATTCCGGATCTTGAAGCTTTGCGGTTGACAGCTCCAAGCCTACTTTTGGAGCTTCAACTTCTTGTCTCAGGACATGGGTTCGCTGCAATCGCACAGCACCTCTCCAGCCAACTCCATCGGCCTGATGTCCGGACCAGGCGTCCAACTGGTTTCGCCGCCTCGGCGGATCTCCAGGACCAAGACGTTGCCGGCGGACCTGCGCCGAGTGCAGCCGTCCTTCGGACGCGAGAGAAAACGCCGAAACCTTGCTCCGTTCGTAGTACGGCCA